ATATGGTTCTCCCAGCAGCTGGTGCAATTTATGGTTCATTCGCCTTCTCCACGTTCTGTCATCTATCTGCACTCCACCATAGTTGGTACGCAACACCTTCCGTATGAAAACACCAAGGGCATAGTTCAGGTCTCGTAGCCGTAGAAGACCACAGGTCTAATCAGCTTCTTGTAGATAGTCAACTTCGTGTGGCGGTGAATTTTAACAGAAATGCTGTTAGCCTTTGTTAAAAAAAAGAGCAAATGGCTTCTGTGTTCTTGGATATCAAAGGGGCTTTTGATTCAATTTCGGTTGAAGTCCTTTCAGACAAACTCCACGCTTATGGTATTTCCCCATCAATAAATAAATGTTTGTACAATTTGCTGTCAGAGAAACATATGAGCATTTCTCATGGAAACTCTACAGCTTTTCAATTTAGCTACATGAGTCTCCCCAGATCTCATGTTCAAGCCCCCTTTTGTTAAATTTTACGTCAGAGAAATTGACGATTGTCTTAGCGACAACTGCGCGTTGAGACAGCTTGCAGACGATGGTGAAGTGTCAGTCACAGGGCCGAAAGGTCAACCTGCAAGGACCCTTACAGGATACCTTAGACAATTTGTCTACTTGGGCTATCGAGCTAGGTATCGAATTCTCCACGGAGAAAACTGAACTGGTCGTTTTTTCTAGGAAGCATGGCCCAGCTCAACCGAAGCTTATACTTTTGGGTAAACCGATTACTCATTCTATGTCTTTCAAATATCTTGGGGTCTGGTTCGATTCTAAATGCACCGGGAGATCCCACAATGAGTATCTGAAGTGGACATGCCAGGACCCTGGAGATAACGGAACGGTCTTCAAAAGATCCGAAACATCCGTAAAAGTGGTCTATCCATAAACCTGATCCTAGAACTCCGTGGTTTTTTTTTTCGAAAACATTAGGAACTGTGATATAAGAAAGAATTTGAGTTCATGACATAAACATGGACCCGGATGGCCATCGGACCGTCATCCGGAAGATCCGGAACATCCGTAAAAGTGTTCAATCTATGAAACTGATCCTAGAGCTCCACTTTTTTTTCGAAAACATTTGGAACTGTGGAGCAATTCATGGATGAAGCCTAAATTATTTCTTATATCACAGTTACCAGTTTCACGGATGGACCACTTTTATGGGTCTTCCAGATCTTTCGGAAAATGATCCCATGGCCATTCGGGTTCATTTTTATTCACGACCCAACATTCTTTCTTATATCACCGTTCCACGTGTTTTCGAAAAAAAACCACGGAGCTCTAGGATCAGTTTCATGGATTGACCACTTTTACAGATGTTTCGTATCTTTCTGAGCACGCTCCCATGGCCATCTGTGTTCGTGTTTATATCATGAACCCAAATTCTTTCATATATCACAGTTCCTAATGTTTTCAAAAAAACCGCGGAGCTCTAGGATCAGTTTCGTAAATTGACCAATTCTGGCTTATTATGAACATTTGTGCCCGCTAATTTAATATATGGATCTTAGGCCACTTGTAAAACCCATAAACACTCTTTTAAAAAAAAAAAAAGTGTAACGGCTCTTTTCGCTTTTGAATAAAGTAGAAAACCCTATTTCTAATTTTTTTTTTTACAATCAAAATAATCTACAGACCCTATGAATTCTAGAAGTACCACAATTTTTGAAATTCATAAAGAAATTGCTAAGTTATGCCATTGCAAACTGCCGTTACAAGTTTTTCGGAGGCATCGTATTCGGAGTGTTAATCTTAAAAAGTGGGTATCTATCATGCCGATATAATAAATCAAATACAACAGAAAGATGGAAAATTTTATCGAGAAAAATATTGTCAAAAACAGCAAAGCCCATTCTTTAATGAAACATTACCTACAGCATATTCAACACAGTGTTCACTTGGCTGTTGACAGAAGCAGGCCACTTTCGACGTGTGTCACGCGATCGTCTGTTCTCGGCAGCAACCATTGTGTGGTCCTCCTCATTGTTCTTCATCAACAGTTCTTTCGGTCGATTCGTCGTCGACTTTAGAAAGCAACCCTCTTCGTGATGAGTGTGTGAGTGCTGACCACGTTTTGCGTCCATTGCTGCTATGGAAGCGCTCTCGGCCCCCCGTTGGCGAATCTGCCATACAATAAAACCACTGGAAGCGGCTCCCGTTCTGGTGGAGGAGGCTTATTGGATAGCGGAAGATAAAATGTTTATTGTGTTGTACCTTTTGACTATAGTTTTAAGATGTATTGTAAAGTGAACAAGAATCCTCGGCTCTGTTAAGTTAATTCGGTTGAGCCTTATCAAATTAATTAATAGAAAAAAATAAGCATATTCAACAGCAACCAACTTACCTAATACCTTTAAATCTTGATGGTTTTGTGTTATCGCATGGTAATATTGGTTTTGAAGTATCTAGAATTAAATCGGAGGATATATAAGTGGATTGTCGTAGCCAACAGAACTAAAAAAGAAAAATCATGTCACCAAAAACCAAGCTCTAGTTGCATCTCATCACTGGTAGGAACTGCGAGGAAGCATCTGCCCAGAGACCGTTTGCCGCCAAAGTTGAACATCATCGGCTTCCTACTGGTCTACTGGGTGTGGTGTGTTGTCCGTTGTCTAGTGTTAAATATTCAGTATGTGCAACCTCTGGTTGAAGACGGTGTCAATTTTCTTGTCAACTCTGATGACAATTGCTTGGAGATTTTATAAATGTAGGGGAAATGGATGTAATTTAGGCCTAAATGCCCCTAACTTGGGCCCATACATAAATTAAGCATTCGACTAAATTTTCAATAGCGACCAAAAATATCCATTAGTACCGTCCCAAAGACGCGTTCATCTAGATAAAATTGATAAATAGCAGATTTTTAGCGATGGGCCCAATCTTAGATCCAAAGGCCAACATAAAAGCCATTTCCCCTACAATGCGGAAGAAAAAATCATAGAAATTTTTATGATGAAACTTTAGGAGTATGCTGATACGAATCGGGAGAATAATTTCAATAAAGAATAAATTTAATAAAATTTTAGGACATTTTAACGGAATTATGCGCAATTTTTGGAAGACTTTCAATGCCATTTTGGAAATGCTGAAGAGGATTTCAACATAATTCTGACGTTACCTAAAAAGCAGTTCAAAGGTAATTATCGGATAAGGCTGAGAAGAGTGTGACGGTCATTCTGAAGAGTGCACCAAGGAAATTATTACCAGTGTGAGGGAATTGTGGAACTGGAGAGTAATTTATAAAAGATTACAAAAGGTAATGCTATGAACTCTTAGAATGTTACTGGAAAAGTTTGAATATTATCAAGATTATTTTAGGGGAATCCAGAAAATAAGTATGATGAAATTCTAGTATCATTCCAATGGAACTCGGAAAAAGGGGGAAGATATCCTGTGAAGAGTTCCAAGAAAATTCAGACTAACAAAAAATTTCATGATCTTGGACCCAGGAAAACAAGAAAGTCCGGAATTTATAATCATTACAAGATACTGGGACTTCAAAAATGACGCTATCAGACTTTCATTTTAGTAATATAATAAAATTATTCTTTGGCATAAAATTAATCGTAATGGTCGTGCGAATAGTGGAGCTACCCGGAGTTTAGGTAAATTTTGTGTGAGTCCACGATGTTAGGCTTCGATTTCCACTTCAGCCAGGTGAATTTTGCTTCAAACTAAAATTGCCTACTGGTCTATTGGGTGTTGTGTGTTGTATGATGTCAAGAATTGTAATGTAAATCTGATCAACCTCACGGTAATATTAGAATTATTTAGAAGTGATAAAATCTTTATATTCTGGTACTGCATCAAATAGTAAGGACTACATCGACTCTTGGTTAAAAAAAAAAATCCACCCCATTAAATTTGCTCAATTCTTTGCTTCTCATTCTTTTTTAAAAAAGTTACAATTCTAATAATATTTTCTGCAGTATTTTAACCACATTTAATTCAATATTTGAACTGCTGCGTAGTTGATATTCAAACTTTTTGGGCACACTGTGTCAATACTTTACAACTTTTGTATGATTTAGCAATGCTAACAAGTTATTAGCTTCATATAATTTATTTGAACATGTTATTCATAATCATTCTAGTACTTTAAATACATTCCAGATGATCATACTGACCCATTTTTACGGGAGATTAGCACATCACTTTAATTTCAATAGCATTATGTTAAAAACAGGATTTTCTTTAGCATTCCAGATTTTTACAGATTTTATATTTTAACTTGTCCAGATTTTTCTGACAATGACCTGGCAACGCTGCTTGTAGCTACCATTTGCAGGGTAGGCCTGCATGTTTCTTGACAAAGGGTAGTTTTGGCCCAAATGAAAAAAAAATGCAACCACTTAGCTCAAATTTTACTACAACAGCACTGGTGTCTAACTAGATATTAATAGGATCAACAAACTGCTTAGCTGATGCCAACTACCTTAACAAAGAAACAAGAAATCTCTGTTCGTTGATAATCATTTGTTCCTAATTATCATCACAAATTTTCATGTGTTGCGCAAAACTGGTTAGTTAATTAAATTAGATTGAATACTTGCCTCCAGGTGAGTTGAAATTATCATCTGCCTGCTCAATTCTCATCATGAAATTCTTCCAGCCAACTGCCACCCGTTCTCGTTTCACATCAATCAAGTTTGCCTTAATTGAATATTGCCCAAGTGTTGTCGTAATTAGTCATCTAGTTATTACATAAACTAGCCTCCTCCAGTCTAATCCATCACTGTCGCGCACCCGAAAACGATATAAAAATATGCAACCACCTTCTGGTGTAAGAAATCAAATTCCTCCAAGTTCAGCGGTTCAACAAACCGAAACAAAGAAACAATTAAAATCTAACATATCATGTACCTAGCAAGAAGTCAATCGAAATACACGAAATACCCCCCGCGCCCCCCCCCCCTTTCTGAACTTAACGTTAAGCAAATTGAAAAAAAAAATAAACCGAACAAAGTTCTAATTTTCGATTTCCCCATTTCTCATTTCGCCTGTTACAGAGGGCCGAGAGTGCGTAAACTGCGGTGCCACATCGACGCCCCTCTGGCGGCGGGACGGAACCGGCCACTACCTGTGCAATGCCTGCGGACTCTACTACAAGATGAACGGCCAGAATCGACCGCTCATCAAGCCGAAGCGAAGACTGGTTAGCGTAAGTATTCCACCACTTTTGCCACACATTCTAGCGCGAGTTGCAGACGTTATCTGTGGAAATTGAACTCTTTTTCGCCCCGGATGGGTGCATCTACAAATTGGACGTGCGTCATTCAAATCTAGCAGTGACCTCCAGTGTGACGACGACGACCTAGAAGTGAGAGCCCTTCCGTAATTATTATGTACTACTACCGTGTTTTTGTTGCCACCCTCTCCGTTCCCTGTCGCCGTCGTCGTCGTCGTCGTCGCTGTCGTCTTGCTCGCCTTTTAGCTTTTTGTATGCTGTGTGTGGCTATAATAAGTCGAGATGGATGTAAGCTGATAAGCTCTCGCTGCTGCTGCTTCTGCCGTTTGTTGCAAAGAAACAGAACACGGAATACGTTAGTACAGGAACTAACCATCGCACACACAAAAGCAAATTAGAAAACAGAGAAAACCGTTTGTTCAGTTTCCCAGAAAGTCGACCCAGGCCGACACAAAAGTTGTTGGCGCCGAATGTGCATGAAGTGAACTGGCGAGGGTGGACGCGGACGCGATAGCAAAAGTCCTAAATAGGACACATGCACAGAACAAAAAACGTTCCATTGTTACACTTTGGAGCGATGGATTTTGCCGGAGCCTTAATTATAATCCGAGCTCTTGGGATACATACCACAACCATCACATTACATTGCTGGTCATGTTTGAAGAGATGACAACTGGTAGATGACGAAGGTTTAGTATGCATACACGCTTAATCAGCTGTGAACGTTCCCGCGATTTGATGGATAGCTTCAACGGTGAAGGGTTTGAAGCATATTTTGCAGATCATGAAGGTCGTACAAGAGCTACTCGATCTCAAATGTTCTTGAATCCAACTTATCCTGTGACAACTCCTTAAGTCATACTATACCACTCAAAAATTACTACGGTGTAATGACGTAATTCATATTTGACGTAAATCATGGAACGTAAACAAACTTGTCATTATATATCATGTAAAGTTCTGACACATTTCATGCAATGTAGCAAATATTGTATACAAAAGCCCATCTTTGTAACCAACATTGTTTACATGTTGCTCGATTGAGTGAAATGAAATTCAAGTTTACGTGAATGAATGTTTACATCACAATTAAAATTCAGAATTTTTATCTGTGTAGACTTCCCAATAGACTACATACTTAGAAAAAATCATGTTAATTAAGGTGCTCTGAGAGTGACATATACGAGCGTCAATTTTGACATAAATTGAGTCATAAAAGACGTGAAATATAGCTCAATCAAACGTACTTTTCGTCGAGCAACGAATTTTCCAGTCTCGGAGCATTTAATATTACATGACATGTTTTTTTTTACGTGCCATCTTTAATGTCAAAGGCGGATTCCGTCACGTGTGAAATAAGTTATTTTTAAGAGTGTAGTCAGAAAACCAGTGGCGTGAACAGGATGGGGCAAGGTGGGGCAATTGCCCCACCTTTTATAAATAAGATTTTTATTTCCACGTTTACAAAATTATGGTTTAAAATAATTTTCTTGATAACTTGATTTGAAGGTAAAATAATATCATTTCCTAATATAAGGCCACTGGAAACCTTTTATTGCGGCAATTCCTTTGAGATGGTGGCTGAAAATTGCACCACAAAGGTGCATGAAGGGACAAACTTCAATGAAATTTTTTGGTCAAATAATTGCACCACAGTGGTGCATACAAAAAATTTCTGGCGTAATTTTTTTTTTTCAAGGGGTTTCATGGAAGGTTTTTAAAGGGTAATATTTAAGGTTGAAAAAATTAACCTTCGTGGTGGTTAATCGAAGAAAAAGCTTGTTGTTGAATATTTCTGGTGTAAAAATAAAATCAAGGTGGTGCATGGAGGGACTAATCAAAATGAATAACTCTGGTGGAAAAATTGAATCACGCTAAAAATTTGGAGGTTCACCTTTAACTGAAAATTTCTGGAGGAAAGTTCGCAACACTGTGGTGAATGTAGAAGCACGGTTATTCATTTTTCTGGTGCATAATTTGCATCGTTCTGATGAATGCAAGCTTCATTGAAAATTTATGGTGTAAAATTTGCATCATTTTGGTGCATGAAGAGGCAAAACCTGAAAATGCATGGTGAAACAAACTTCACTGACAAGTTTTGGTGCACTGTTCTGGTGAATGGAGGAGCATGCTGTATTGAAAATTTCTGGAGCAAAATTTGCATCGCTATGATAAATGAAATGAACAAAATATTTCTGGTGGTAAACTTGCACTGGTATGGTAAATGAAGGCACAAGCTTTATTTAAAATTAAGCTACATGAAAATTTATGGTGGAAAATCTGCACCGTTCTGGTGAAAAGATTTTCAAGCTTTTCGAAAAAAATTTGGTCCTAATTTTGCATTCTTTAGCTGAATAGAGAATCAAATTTTAATAATAATTTCTGGTGTAAAATTTGCATTTATGATTTATGATGAAAAATCTGAAAATAGGGGCAATCTTTTTTTAGTGGAATACCTGCAACATTCTGATGATAGGAGAAGCAATCTATATTGAATATGTCTGGTGGAAAATGGAAAAAGGAAATCTCCACCTATCAGAAGATTGGAGAAGCAATTTTTATTGAACATTAACGGTGGAAAATTTGCATCGGTTCTGGTCAATTGAAATTTTCTGGTTTAAAATTACCTGGAGGCAAGTTTGTATTGAAAATTTCTGATGTAAGATTTGCAACAATCTGCTGCATGGAAGGGCAAGCTTTATTGAAAAATCCTTGTGTAAAAATTGCACAGTTCTGGTGAATGGAGGGACTAGCTTTATTGAACATTTATGAGAAGAACCTCAAGGGAATTGAATTCTGAGGACAGTTTCAAAAGAAAAGATTTCTAGGGATGATTTCATGAAAATTCTGTGCATAATTTTTAGCGAATCCTGCAGATCATTTCAAAATAATTTCGAAAATAATTCCGAGATAATCAATGTTTGAATGAAATTCCAAATGGATCTTAAGCAAAATTTCAAACGAATTTCGAGGATAATTTCTAGCTCATTCCGGGAAAAAATTTCTGAAACTCTAAAGGAATTTCAGTTCCAAGGTGTTCTGAGAAAAAAATATGAAGAGTTCTAAGAATAATTCCAGTGAACCTCTGAGAAGAATTTCAAAAGAGCTCTTAGGAGAGTTCTAAAAAAAAAACGAGAAGAACCTCAAGGATATTGAATTCTGAGGACAGTTCCAAAGGATTTCTGGGGAGTATTCCAAAAAATTCTGTGAATAATTTTTAGCGAATCCTGTGGATCGTTCCATGATAATTCCACAAAGAATACCGAGAAAATTTAATTTTGAGTGAAATTCCAAAGGAGTTTTGAGGAAAATTTCAAGGGAGTACCGATAATTTCTAGCTCATTCCGGGAATTATTTCTGGATAAAATTGAGGAAATTCTTCTGAAACTCTTAGGGAATTTTAGTTCCGTGGTGTTGTGAGTAAAAATCAAGAAGTTCTAAAAATATTTTCAGATTGAGAAGTATTTCAAAAGATCTCATAGAGTTCTAAAAATTTCGGAAAGAACCTCAAGAAATTCTGCATATGGACTTTTTCACAGCTGAACAAAGTTTAAAGACAGCTTTTAGATTCCCTAATTGAAAAGTAGGTTTGCCATTGAACCTTGGTCTATTGTTGTCTTACTAAGAATTTGTTTAAGAATCTTCTCTGAAAATTTCAAGTCATTTTTTACCGTGGTTAAAAAGTTACAGCTATATCTGTGAGTTGCAATAAGTTCAGGATTGTCCTTTATATCATCTTTAAAACATGTTGAATGTTCGCACAAGTCGTCATTCCGTTACAAATCTTGTACTCGCTTGTCAAAATAGTTTTGTGCGCTTTTGTTCCAATCGTTACATATTTTTTAAACCTTTTTACCGGCCCAATAATAAAAATTTATTTCCGGCACGTTTTTATTTTTCTAAAAATATTGGGAAAAAAAATATCAAAAATCCACGAAAATCAGTTTCTTCCTAAGATTCTTGACAAAAATTAAATGTATTCATATTTTTTCTATATCATCACGAAAAAAAAATGGACTCTCAGCAAAACCGAAAAGTCGCTGTTTTGTGGTTTTTTGAGTCCAACTCTATGCCATAATGACTTATAAAAAATGTTTTTTCACGTGAATTTTCTTTGAAAAATTAAAAAAAATGCGATTTTGTTAGATTTTTGATACCTTTTCCCAATATATTTAGAAAAATCAAAACGTAATTTTTTTTTCGGAGCGGTGAACTTCCCCTTAATGATCCTATTAGCTTTGGCATTTAGGTCTAAATTAAAAAAAAATAGAATTACAATTTTCGCTGAAAATGACCAATTTCAACGGACTCCCAACGGTAATAGTTAAGTGTAACTACATAGAATACTCCGTACAGGCTATGGTTTATATCATGTAATATAGACTGTCTTGCAATGAGCACTCACATATAGGATTTCCAGTGAAAACTAGATGTATGAGTGCTCATTGCAACGTTTGATCGATATTGTGCGCATACTTTGCAAAGGTGGTCGACCACTTCGTGAACATTCTGGGAAAGTGTGCCTCCCAGTTGGTGGCTAACTACGATCCAGTGCTGGAAAACACTTGACAGAAGGTGCCAAAAATTGCCAGTACACAAGTAATCGTATTCAAAATGACATGATTACCCAAGTAACCACCAAGGTCGCTAACTACCCGATAATCGCCCTTTTTGCGATATAAGGTAAATATAGGGTTTCCGAACTTTATATCAATCGTATAGCAGCCTTGTATAGCAAAAAGGGCGATTAACGGGCTTGTTGGTTACTTGGGTACGCTGCAGACTTCATCAGTGCCAAGTAATCAACACCACTGATCAAGATTGGATTGATCAAGAGCAATATACTGTTTGTTCCCTGCTATGCTGTTTGGACCTTGTACTTGTCGACGCAGTGTGCATGCGAAAGGAGAATGCGATTCTTATTGGTCATTTATGTCAGTTTGTCGGTGCTATCACCACCATCTGATGTAACT